ATCTAAATACAGTCCATATTTGCTACTGGTTGCAAATTTTCCAAGCCAAAAAAAAAAGTTAACCTCTTATTTATGTTCAATTAAAATTTAGGAGAAATACAGTCATACCCAAAACATATCTAGCATTACATATTACACAAGGAAAAAGTTTATATAAGGATAGGATGCAACAATATAATGTAGAACTACGGATGCACCTCAAAAATCATCGGAAAAGGTAGTTTTAATGTTGAAAAACCCTTTGATTGATCATCTAGACATCGAGATGTATGACCATGAAAAATAAAAAGATTTTAAGTCTTAGAAATAGTACATTTTACAACATATTATCTACACCATCCATTTTCAAGATTTTCATATGTTTATAGATCTACTTGATTTTGACCATTTTCTAAATATAAAATTTTATAATTAGATAAAAAAATAGATTTTGAGATAATCCTAAGAACATTTTACATCAAAATTATTTACCATAATAAAATTTGAAGGTGCATCTTACCTCTACAGCTACGAATGCATCTGTATGCCAACTGCACCCATTACATAATCATCCATTTTTTCCTTATTTAAGGAGATATCTTACTTCCTTTATTTTTTAATTCCTCCAAATTTATAACATCGAACCAGTTTTTTATTTCACTTTTTTTTCTTTTTTTTTTCTTTTTCTTGAATCATATGTCTGTATGGTTGTCCAAGGGTCAATTAGGGGTCGATCTGATGTTTGAAACACCATACTGCCCTAAAGTTAGGCAATTTGATATCTCAAACGACAAATATCCCCGTCTTTTGGGCCTCACCCCATTATGGATGGGTATAATGTTCTAAACATCAAATCCACTTCTATTTTTTTTTCTTATTTTATTTATTATATGGTCTAGAATTTGGGACATCTGACCATTCGTTTTTTTTTATTTTTTTGTGGTTCAGTGGGAAGCAGTTCCCTCCCCGTGATAAGAATGAAACTCAAGAGGTCATATTTGTGGTGTAGTTGGCGCCTTGTCATCCTGACCACCTATCCAGGAGCTCATTCCTAACATTGGTCTACCCCAAAAAATAACCTATCCGATGTTGCAAATATTGTACCGCATTTTAAATAAAAAATTGGATTCAGTCCAATGTCCCAAACAATTGGTCTAACCGACAATAGGAAAATAAACTGCATTAGGGTTGACATTGAACAATTCAACTTTAATCGCTCTGATGTTTCAAACATTGAACAACTCAACTTTAAACGCTCTGATGTTTCAAACATTAGACCGACGCCATAAACTGCCAACATCCCTATAGTCTAAAAAAAACCCAAAAGACCAAAAAAATAGTAAAATAAAATAAATAAAAGTCAGATATCAAATCAAGGGAAAATCACATGAAAGTAGGACTGGCGCATAAATTTTGGAAAAAAAATGAAGCATTTATCACAATGTTTCCCTTTTTTCGTAAATTGCTATTAGCGTTCGTAAATTGCCATAAGCGTCTTGAAAGGTACCTTCATATCGAATTCACCAAATCGAGTTAAGAAAAACGCTCATTTCCATATTGAAGTGCAATCCAAATCCAATCCTGATTTGCACCAAATTATGGTTTCAAATTTTCCAAAAACGAAAAAAAGACAAGTTAACCTTTCATATGTCAAACTAAAATTTAAGCACTCTAAATGCAAGGGTTGAAAAACCCAAGCTAGTTGTCGTCATACTAAAATTTAAGCACTCTAAATTCAAGGCTGAAAAACTCAAGCTAGTTGTCCCCTACAGGCCACGTGTTTGCCCCTTGAGCGCGTAATATAGGACCTCCATTTGATGAACGGCTAGGATCTCACGATATGATCGTTTTGTGGGACCCACGTCAAATATCCCACTTGATTGGCGACCTTTTACGTCAAGGAAATCTAGGGTGGCAATAGATCCGGATTTTGGACCCAACCCGAGGCCCGTCGGGTATACCTGATATAGGTCGGGTATGGGTCTAGCATTTGGACCCGACGGGTTGGGTTTGGGTCCAAAACTTGGACGCGAACACTATATGGGTTTGGGTCGGAGTCCAGTTGGACCGATCATGTAAACTGATAAAGATAAAATACTTTGCTTTAAGCCCTATTCATTTCGGTGTATTAATGATCGTATATATTTAGAACTAGTAATCGTCTTTAGCTATTAAACGACAAATCACACAACTTGATATCTAATAGCGGGTGATTATGACCTTTTTGCCAATAATACGGGCATATGATGGTAAAAAAAAAAAAGCTCATAGTGAGGGTGACAATGGACCCGAGACCTGATGGGGTAGACCCGAGACCCGATGGGTATGGGTATGGGTCCAAATTTTTTACCCGACAGATCGGGTCCGGGTCCAAAACGGGTCTGGGTCTTGGTCCAGTCGGACTCGACCCATACCCGACCTGTTGCCACCCCTAAGGAAATCCAGACCAGCCTAGCACTATGGTCCGGGTCACAAAAAAAATTAAATTCTTTCCATTTTTTTTTAACCCAGCCGAGCACAGCCCTAGCCTTGTAGGGCTAGCCCAGGCCTGTGCCAATCCTATGGAACAAGGGCTAGGCCAGGGCCAAGGCCCAGCCCGTTGCCTTCATGATTTGAAATATGGCCAACGCTTTTTATTGCAAACTTTCTCCAATGAGAAATAATAGATTTTCTTTTTTTTTGAGGAATAATTAAGCGAGATCACACGCCTGACCGACTTAGTCATTGCTTAAATTGGCCATTTCCATTTCTAGTAAAACCTTTACTTTTCCAAAAATTAGTTAGATATAAACCAAGCCAATATATGGAAATTGATGAAAGCAACTTAGAAAGGCAAGATTAACTTTTCTTGTGTCATTTATTCAATTATTTATTGTTACTTTTTTAAATTAATCTATTTATTCCAAAAATGATTGTGAAACCCATCTAGTCCAAAAATTTCGAACTCCTCATATTAGCGTGGACGATTTTACCCAACAATCAAATTTGAATCTAAAAAAATGATAAAGATCTTGCGGATCTGTGAACATTTTTTAGGGCGATATGGACGGCCTAGATAATTTTTAATAATATACACTATTTTTAGAGCTTAAAATCTTAATTGTATTTCACAAACGTAATGTTCAAGTCAAGATGATCAATGTAAAAGTTTTTCAATGCACGAATTGTAATTGTGGATGAGTTATGAGATGCGGCTTTACTTACTTTGATAGGGCTGCAGCACTATCAAACTTTTCCATATGTAAAAAAATTCGTTTGTTAATTGTTGGACCCGGGTCAGGGTCGTGTCTGAATCCTTGCCACCCCTACTCAGAAGCAGATGATTGCTTTGAGGGCTCCATAGGCTTGAAGTATCAATATACCTTGAAGTAAAAAGAATCACTCTTTCACGAATGCGGGTACAAGAGTCGTATTATGAATAGGAATTGTATACTATAAAACCATTTATTTTTTGTACAAGGAGGTCACATTCTTTTTTAGCCATTAGATGTGAAATCCAATAGATAAAAGTGAATCAATAATCGAGAAGTTTTGTTTTGGATTTAATGCTTAAACAATGACATGTTTTCAATCACCCGATTTCAAATCTAACGGTCAATGATGATTGTGACATTCTTATATCAACAGTAAATGGTCTCATTGTATACATTTCTTTATGAATATTAACGGATATTTTTTAGCAATGAAGGGGGTAGAATCGTCCACGCTAATATGAGGAGTTCGAAATTTTTGGAATAGATGGGTCTCACAATCATTTTTGGAATAAATAGATTAATTTCAATAAGGTTTGGGTGCATATCATGGATCTTGCTTCTATTATAGGAGTGTCTTTCCAACATATTTTCAAGGATTGGAATGAGTCGGCTGATTCTTTGGCTAAGAAAGAAGCATGGCTCAATGCTTTGGTTGTTATTGATGATGTAATTTCTATTTTGTAACCTCAGTTTCGATCAGTGATTCAATCTAAAATCAGGCGATCCAGATCGGGGATCATCATGACCGTCCAGGATCTAGTAAAAAGCCGGAATTCGGCCGATTCAAAATAGCAGACAAACTGGAACCGTCGAGTCTGACGATTCTTCACCAAGTCTGACCGATTATTTACCAATTCCGATAAATTTTTCACCGTGTCAAGCACAAAAAAAGGATGAACAAATTTTTTTTAATTATTTTTTAAAAAATTTGAGACAAAAATTATCGATTTCGTCGATTATTCGGATCCAATCCACCGATTTTCCCGATCCGACATGGATATGGGTGTGCCCGATTCGAGTCACCAATCCGTTTTTTTAAACATTGGTTTTGATTAATAAAATTTTTGGATATTGTCAAAAAAAAGAAGGGTTGACACCTTATACAAACCTCACCCTTTTATTTTATATATATTTTTGTAGGTCCAGGTCGGCCTGCCCCAACAGGTACCAGACCCCACTCAGACACGACCTATTGGTTCCACAACACGGACCTAGAGCCAAACCCAATTCGAGTCAACCTGCCGGGTCGACATGTTAAGCCGGCCCGTTTGCCGATTGCCACCCCTAGTACCGAGTGGTCACTATGATTATTGTTTGGGTAATTGGAAGTGCATCTGCTCTAAGTAAAGTTTTTTTTTTTTTCTTGAGATGAATAAAAAGCCGCCCAAAAGAAGATATGTTTGGATAAATATAAACACTTGAATCGATGAAAAAATTTACTTTATTCTATATTGATCTTAAAAGCTTATGGTTAGATATTTGTGCAAATAAACTAAAGTTTGAACTGATTATTTCCCTTTGGGAAGCAACAGGGGCATTTGAGGTTTTTTTTTTTTCCCATGAGATCAAGTGATTTTTACAGCAATTTTTCATTTCTCAGGTAATTTTCAAATTTTTTTGTCGATAGGGGTATTTTAGTCATTTTCCACGACAAATAATTATGGGCCCCATCGTTCTGGATATATCTTCAAAGACCCTGGACCCTACCTATACCAAAAAAATGACCGTATAAATATACGGTTCACACTCGTGCATAAATTCTAGCCTTCTCGATCCATTTCCATTACTCCAACTCGCCTGAGTTCCTCCCAAATCCGCCATTAAAAATCAACATTCGAGCTCCAGCTTTATATTCCTCCTGATTCTCTCATAACTCTTGGAATTTCAACCCGTATCTATGGGGGATTTACAGAGCCAATACTGCAACAATTTGAGGCCTCCATTCCCTTTAATGGACATTGGTGACTCGGGCTTTGAGCTATTGAACCAGTATCCAGAATTCAATGCGATTTTGCTTGAAAACCCAAGTTTAAGCAATTTACAGAGCTTGATTGGGAGCTGCAATGAATTGGGTCTGATGCATCAGGGCTCTGTTCATCAACAAGAGGTTCAAATGGGGTCAGGGTTTAGTGGCGAGAGCTTTTCGAATGGTTTTTTGGGTTCGAATTGTGAGGAGTTACCAAAAGTCCAGGCAAATTCTCAGTCTTCGAGTGCATTGAAGTATAAGAATTTGGAGAATTTGGAGAAAGATATAAGGGGTAAGAAAAGGAAGGCAGGGTCTGCATCGGAGAGCAGTTCAGAGGATAAAAGTCCTGCAAATGTAAATCCCTCTCCCTCACTCTCTGTTATGTGTGTGTGTGAATTTTTCTGTGTTTCGTGGGATTTTTGTCAGTTTTTTTTGTGTAATGTTGATTGAAATTGATGCTGGATCTCTCTCTAACACACACTCTCTCTCTTTTTTGACAGAGAAAAAAAGGAAAATGTGGGAGCAAGAGCAATTCCAGTGAGAGAGGAGGAGAGAAGCCAAATGAAGTAATTCATGTAAGAGCAAGAAGAGGGCAAGCCACTGACAGTCACAGTCTTGCCGAAAGGGTAAACAAACCAATCATGGCCCAGAATGTTACCCCAAATTTCCATGCATTTTATTTATTTTATATTTTTCTCTTTCTTATCATTATCCAATATTCATGTACTTTTCTCTTCACTTTCTATATAGATCACATACCCTTAACTGAGACCCATTTCCCTATGAGATTCATTTTACTGTATGTTTAGGAATATACCTTAAGTTTCAACTTTAAATGGCTTCATTACCTTCTAATTGGAGGAAATCTCAATGTTTTAGAAACTTGTGGTACTCTTGTATTGGGTTTGCTTACTAAGAGATTATTGACGAGGAGATTACAATCAATTCTTGGTAATTAGATATCAAATTGGATGGCTTGAGACGTGTCACGAAATTCAAGATTTTTTTTTTCAATTTTACATTTAGTCAATGATTCACGTACAAGTAACCAATTTAATATCTTACCGACATTAATGATTATGACCTTCTTATACTAAAAATAATCTTTTTTGTGTGCTTTTCTTTTTCCTTTTGTATTTTTGCCATTACCATTGGTGATAGAGAGAGGAGGGGAGAGAGCTTTTATTTTCTTAGACTAATTCCTTTGTATTGGAATGGAACAGGTAAGAAGGGAGAAAATTAATGAAAGAATGAGGTGTTTACAAGATCTTGTTCCAGGGTGTTACAAGGTAGAAAATGGCAAAGAACTTCTATATCAATTTGAAAATTTCATTTATTGTATTTTCGTTTTCATTACCTTCTCTATACATATTTTTCATGTGTGACATTCTTATTTTCAAATATATGAACTCAGACGATGGGCATGGCGGTTATGCTCGACGAGATCATAAACTACGTGCAGTCACTGCAACATCAAGTGGAGGTGAGAGAGTTAACAGTCGTTTTTTCAAGCAATTTGAAATATCATAATTATTTTTTAAGCAAATTCTTGGTTTATTCTATGTTGCATAATATTTATTTATTTTTTCTACAGTTTCTTTCCATGAAACTCACAGCTGCTAGCTCTCTCTTCGACTTTAGCTTGGACACAGACGCCATTGAAGCTCCAAATGTGAGTGATAGTTCAAAAAGTGTGGATTACGGGCATCTTGGCTCAAGGCCCATTGGGCTTGGATTTGGTTATTTGTAATTTTGTAATTTTTGTGTTAGAAAGAGAAAAGACTTCTTCTGGGGCCTTTAGAGTTGGATTCCAATTTCAAATATATATTATATATGCCAAATAAGACATGTTCCGTTGTAAAGTTTCAAAATTGACTACATACCCTGCACTGTACTTAGGAGTTGATAAAAAAAAAATAATATATATATATATATATAGCTTAATAGAAAATGAGGAATTGTTGGCTTTTCAAGTTTCCAATAGTCAATGTAATTTCTGATTTTTTTTTTTCACATTATAATAGTTTTTTTTAGGAGAAGTTGCAAGGTTGTAAAAACCATTATGATCCATTACAACAGCAAATGGACATGAGTTCTCATTGTCCTTGTAGCAAGTGCAACAGTCCTCTAGGAATGAGTTCAAGGCTAGGTGGTCAAGTGGTAGGACGCTATACTCTGACATTTTGAGTTCTATTTTTACCAAGAGTATGGACATTTTTCCCTTTGAACTACTTGAAAGTGCAATTTCTAAAAAATGAATGTTTCTAATTATTTGGTAGTATTTCTTGTGATAACAACCGATGAGACACACCGTTATAAGATGCTAATGGTTCGACATATTTATAACTGAATTATGGTTACCTAAAAAGAAAGTGTAAGAAATTAAAAAAGAAAAGTAAATTGAACTTAATAAGATACTTACGCTCTTAACGCCCTACATATCAAGCCAAAAGGCCAAACTCCGATAATTCTACGTCTCAAGATCCATTTCTATGTAACCTTGTCAAAAAAAAAAACTAAAAGTGTGCATTTTTTCAAGATATAAGTATTACATAAGAGTATTGTCCAGAGTTCGACCAAATAGTTGGAAAAAGGTTATGATGATTATGATAATAATGGTGGTTCAACCATTTGACTTGGTGTTAAGGCACAAGTGCTGCTCACCATATCCAAAATGCCAAAATAAAAAAAAAAGAAGTCTATTTACAAGTGCAACTTTATACCGTGTTTAAATCCCTTTATCACACATTTACAATTGCAACTTTATACTGTGTTTAAATCCCTTTATCACACCTTTAATAAAATAATATTGAATACAGTGGTTAGTGCTATAACATAGTATCTTAAATTCCATTCCTATTATACCTAGAGAGAGAGAGAGAGGATATGTATTGAAGTATGTTTAATGTTGATAACAGTGAATGATTTGTTGGGCAGGGGACAAACTCATGGGAGGTTCCAGATGTGGAGAGGGTGGTGAGAGAGGGGTATGGAGGTCTCACATCCTTCCACTAAAAAATCTTCTTTTGACCACACTTTTGGCACCTAATGTGCAACATGCATGTGTCCCCTCTATCTCTCTCTCTTCATTCTATTTCTATCTCTTCCCATTCTCATTTAGCCTTTCATATGCCAAACACTGTGAAAGTGTAACCCTATTCACATTTGATCCCATGGGGACCAATAAAATCATCCTCAATTTGAGTGCACACTGCTTTGTTAGCCATGGATTAGACTAGGAAGTGGATAGCTAGAATGGCAACCATGGTCTATAGGGACATACATACTTGTAAAGGGACATGTGGGCTCCCATGTTGGTCAACGTAGTTTGACTCGACACCGCTCACCACTTGCCACGTGTCATTGTTCAAGCAATATATATATATATATATATATATATATTCATGGATATACTTGCTCTTGTTAGATTCAATGACTGTTCTTATTTTGATTCGATTTTTCACTTTCAAGTTGGTACAACAAAAAATGGGCTAAAGAAATAGGATATAGTTTCTCGCATAGGTCAAAGTCTCACCTCGAATCCTCATTCGGAAAGCATTTTAGGTATCGAAAATTTTCATGATAGGTTCTAAAATTAATTCACAACAACTATGAAATTTTAGGCTAAAAAAATGTACAAACCTGGCAAATCCGTGAACATTTATTTTTAGGGTAAAATGGATGGCTTAAATAGGGGTGTGATTTGTATGAGGCTGAGGCTCTAAACAATCAAAGTAAGTCGCACCTCCAAATAGTATTGCAATATATTGTTTCAATATTAAACATATTTGTAATGGCCTAAAAATTTACTTTAGTATTTAATTAGAAAATTTAAAACTTCAAAACTAGTACAGATCAAATAGATCTATGAACACTTGACAATTTTGAAAATTAATGGTCTAGAAAATACATTACAAGATCAACTATTTCGAACACTTAAAATCCATTTTTTCTCACGTTCATACATCTTGAGGTTGAGATGATCAACTTGAGGATTTTTGGGCATCGAAACAACCTCTTCTAGTGAATTTTTTATGTGCACCTTAATTTGATTGTTTAGGCCTCACCTTTATATAAACTTTTTCCTTTAGATAATGTATTACAATATATGTTATTTTTAGAACATTTGTTGTGAGTTTTGAGGTGAGGCTTTACTTGTTTCGATAGGTTTGCAGCCCTATCCAAACATTTCTCAAAGAAATATCAAATAAGCCTCTCAAAACATGCTTAATTTATGCACATCTACAAGTTTTAATTCATTGGGGAGCTTTTTACATGTTTCCACACATAAATGTATTTAGCATTGTATAGTCATTTCATCATGACTTGGTAATAAAGATGAGGCAATAATCATGTCACACATTAATAATAGCTTGATAAAAAACTGATAGTGCTCTTAGTCATATTGTTCTTGACTCACTCCCAATGGGTCTTTAGTGGAGATAGAGAGGTTTCCATTGTATAAATAACCTAAGTAATATGTGAGCTACCATGAGTCAAATAGAACAATTTCATATGTGCTAAATTGAAATTTGCATGTTTAAGTTATTGATTATTTGCTCCAAGATTTGATAAATGTAAATGTGCCTCTTCAAAGTTATCAAACATTCCTTTCACAACATTGCCAAACTGTTTCACTCCAATGACCTTATGCTACAAAGCATTAAAAACAGTTTGGGTGTATATCATGCTGTACCTAAAGAGAAGAGGGTGCAAACCTAACAAGTAAAATATGTAATCGAAATTGTGACTAAATGGGCGATGAATGTCAATTAGATTGAGGGCGACAACACACATCCAATACTGAAATATCAGATAACACACCCAAAATAAGAAAATAAATAAATTTTAAAAACTGTCTTAGTCTACAGTACAAAGCTTCCTATTTCCTCTAAACATTCATGTAGACAACCATGAACCATGAGTGATTCATGAATCCATACCCTCCAAGCTTCTTGCAATTGGAAGCAATGTGTCTGTGCATACTGTTAAAATGTCGATGTCGTAATGACCATGGTAGACAATCTTGAGACTTGACAGTGATATTCCATGGCAGATCTCATTGATGGAGCCAATACGTATGGCAAATGATAACCATGAAGAAGGGTATAGATCTTATTTCAGGACAAGAAAAGGGACCTTGTGCCCTAAAGAAGGCAGGTACAATGCATTAGGGGATTTGGCACATAAAAGGCTTAGGGTTTCTTTCTTGAGAGGAGGACAGCTTCAATGGGCCACCCCATGCCCACAAGAAGATGGAGAAGGTGGGTTCACCATCCATGAAAAATGATGGAGGATGTGAACCTTTATTTCCAAGCTTTTGAGCCCTTTATTTTGATACTCCCTTTTTGACCAGGTCTTCCCCTTGAGCATACATGCACAAGAGGAGCTAAGGCCCACCCTAACTAATTGGACAGGCCCCCCAGTTTGGATAACCCCCATGAAGAAAGCCATTGTATTTGGAGCCAAATTGAAAAGGGCCCCAATTAGGGCAAGATCTATGGGGGCCAAGTTCCCATTCTCATGCCTCCTCATCCAAAACAGGGAAAAAACATAGCGAAATTGTTTTGAGCTCGTATTCCATGCTCTTGAGGGAGCATTCTGTACATTTTCTCCATTGGGTAAAAGATCTACTTGAAAGTATTTTCTTGATCTAAGATTTTGGGAATCACTTTAGTCACTAGATGAGTACATTCAAAGAAAAATTAGCTTTTGAGTCTTTTAAACACTTAGATCCAACTGTTCAAATTTTCTTTTTTTTCTTTTTACAAATTTTCGAGGTTTACTGTTAGAGGTTGCATCACCTGAATTTGGGGTCCTAAAAATGCCCTTGATAGGGTTTTTACCCTAGAGAGCACATCCGAGCTGGAGCATATAATCTTTTTGGCAATTGTTTGGGTCAATATTATGTGAAATGCCAATTACCATTATAAAGGCATGTCAGTATTATATGTAGCTGCCAATTGCCAATCACTATTCCAAGTGGAAGGTAGAACACATCAAAATGTAGGCCACACTAAGGTTTGAAAGCTGTTCTTTTACTTTGATTGCTTTCTTATTTGAAGTGATTGCCATTCAAGCATGGGATCAAATTAGATGTAGATGAAGAGAACCCTATCATAAGATTTGTGCACATGGGATGATTGCATATGAGGCCAAACTTGGTCCAAAACCAAAGGAATTAAGTGTTGAACCTAGGACTCCAGCTTGACCAACAAGAGGGGCCATTAAAGTTGTTCATTGATTGTAGTTTGATCCATCTAAAGGAGTGGTTTAAAGAAATATACGGGTACCGAATATCATTCATATTCGTAAGTCATGCGCATGGCTACTGACAGTAACATATGGAATTTGCTGGTATGCTACATGTGTAGTTATCTACAATTCTATGTTAAAGTTTGCCAAATATTTTGGACTACACATTGCTTTCTAGCCGAGGATTGCTTGGTTGTTTCTTTCTTTTTCTTTTATTTTTGTTATTTTTATTATTATTATTATTATCATTATTATTATTATTATTATTACTATTATTATTATTATTATTATTATTATTATTATTATTATTATTATTATTATTATTATTTTGTTTTTTGTGCATAGTTTATGAACCCACTACCGGTTATTCGATTGGCACTTGGTTGGACCAATACGGATTGCAATTGCAGTGATAAAAAAAAATTTAAAATTAAAATAATAAAAAATTTCAGAAATACCTAATTAAAAATAATAAAAAGACTCACTCGATTATCTGATCTCGATTATTGCTTCATCTGACAAAATCAACTGGGTATTGAATGAATTGGGCAATCCCAACTAGTTAGACCCATTCCTGATTTTGTAAAGGAAAGGAGTCGATCCCCTTTAAATCCGATCCAAATCGATGATTTTTAAAACCTTGGATTTGTGCTTGCATGTATAATTCTGAATGTTGGCATGTAAGCATGAAAAAAAACCCTCAATTAAATAGAAATAAAGGTATAAAAGCTAATAATAAAAGATAAACTACCAAAGAGGCGACAAGATATTCTCTACACTAATTCTCTTAGACAAATTTTAATTTGTACATTCTTAATAAAAGTATATAATAATACTATCTCCTTTGGTGCTAGGAGGTCAAAATTACATTTGACTATTGAATGCGAAATTGGGTGGCTGAGGATGTGCCGTTATGGTGCAAGGCAAACTTATTCTTAATTTTATTTTTTATTTAATTTCAAGAAATATATATTTTAATTTTAGTTTTAAGATTTATTTTTAGGGTTTTTAAGTTTCTAGGGATTATATATATATATATATATAGGTCACGGGTACTATTCACGCATTACTGTTCATAGGTATTGTTCACACATTACTATTAATAGGGGTATTTTTAGAATTTTAGTATTATTTAGGGGGTATTTTAGAATATTAAATGTTTACTTGGATCTTAACTTAATTTTAAGTTCATAGGTTTATATAAGTTTGGATATCACATTTTGAGAGGCTTATGTTATTTGGAATAAACTTTGTTTTATGAAAGAAGAAAGTACTTTTTCTTTTGGCTTGAGTTAAAACTATTTTTTTTGTCCATTAATGCTGATTTTTACTTGTTTGAGATTCAGAAAAAGGGTGATTATATTTTTTCTTCTTTTCCTTCCTCCATCACATTGATTGGGCTCAAAGTCCAACATAACATTTTTCAAACTTAGTGACATACCTCAAGCCATTAGTTTTCACATCTAACAACTAGAGATGATAATGATCTTCTTGAAACAAAAGCAAATGCTTTTATAGATTATAATCCCTATTGTAAAATTTCTATAGTTTTGATGGAGGGATAAACATGTGGCTCTTTCTATTGTTCAAGCAAGACTGGTTGGCTTAACCCACTTTTCTGCTGATTATATATTTACTTCTGCAGCTTTCTTAATTGTTGCTACATCGGGGCAAATTTGGTTAATTTTTTTAAAAAAAGAGAGTTGGGATCCTCTTGTAGCAGCAACAATTTCATTTGTTTTGATGGAGAAGGAGAGATAAATGGAGAATTTTAAAATTGGTATTGAACCCCCCCTGTATCGCTTTAAAAGGTACTTTTGTGTGCGTTGGATGACTCAATAGCCCAGATAAAACCCATAACCAATGGCGCACAATTAAAAAGACAATCTTTTTATTGCTTATAAAAAACAAATACAAGGGAGGGATTGGAGAGGAGGGGGGGAGACGTTCGCTCCTGGAACCAGCAGAACCTGGACCCTCTTACACCATCAGTGCTGGGTACTGAGGAAGCCCTCTCGCTGAGACTTGGTCATGCTATCAATCCAGAATGAGCAGGAACCTCAAACGATTGAAGAAGCCGATCG